ATTATACTATGGGAGTATGACCATGATCTACCTTGTAATGTCGATTATTGATATAGCGTACACTTTTATTAGGGAAAATTTCATCTTTAATTCTTGAGTTATAACCATGGTTGCAGTAGGCGCTAGACGCTAGTCGGGCGCCCGGACAGTGCCTAGCGCCTAGGCGGTTTAGGCGGCGCTAGTCGGGAGCCAAAAAAAGAGTGGTAGGCTTGTAGTTTGACAATTTTAATGAGGTTGTTTTCAACATTTAATCAAATAACACATCTAAATAAATGAATTAATGATAATTCATAAGTCATAACATCAAAACAATGGTTTTCAAAAAAAAAAAAAAACATTAAAACAATATTAAAAATTAAAAAAATACTCAAATATGAAATAGCCAAATACTTCAATCATCAAAGATTTAAAGTATCAAACTAGTCTACGAGTATATATATGTATATATATATATGTATGCGCGCGCGCACATACACACACATATATATAATAAAAAATAGGTTGAGTCGATCGGGTTAACTCGACCGAAATGGACGAGTTAACTCGACTAACTTAGACGCTAGGCAGCCAAATCGGCCGAGTTAGGCGCTAGGCGGCCGGTAACCTAGGCGGGCGCCTAGGGGGGGAAATCGCCACGGTTAGGCGGGGCCTAGGCGGGGGCGCTAGACCGATTTTTACAACCCTAGTTATAACCAAGTTCTGACTCAGTCCCTAAGTTATGATCGTAACCGAGTTTAGTCCTCAGTTATGAGCGAAGTGTCGAGTTTGGCCCCCAACGTTAATATTTCGTCTGTAGCTAACGGAAAATTTAAAAACAATTTAATAATAGGGGTAAAATAGGAATTTCAAATTATAATCATCTTCTTATGTTGAAACTCACTGCACAACAGTCATTCATTTCCTTTTTACCTACAATCGAAGGTCTTTTTCTTTCCCAAACTCGGAAATCTCAAATTCGCCCCTTTCCAAGCTGCGAAATTCACAGGTAAGTTGTTTCTCTATTTTATATGTTTAAATAAATAATCAATATTCTCCGTATTGATATACTAATTTAGCCATTAATCATATGATGTCATCTCTTAGTCGTGGTACTTCATCTTTACCCAAATTTGAGGATAACTTTCGATATAAATCTGGTGATTTATTACCCCATCCAAATGTCGTGGAGTTATGCTAATCCAATACATTATGGAGTAAATTTTTGTATTTGTCAAAAAAATGTAATTTAAGTTGTTTTCTTTTTTTAAATAGAATTGAAATATTGAAATTTGATTTTCAAAAAAAAAAAATAAATAAATATGGGAGTAGGGTTTCTTTCTTGATTACATAAGCAACTTAGAGTTTTTGTCGGTTTGGGACAAAAGTATTTTGGCTAAGTTTAACCGGGGGAAACAAGTTATATTACATAAAGTTTTATTAAGGAATTTACTTCTTTACCCCTGGAATTAACTCTATCAGCACACCACTAGCATAGAGACCAAACTCGCCACTTCTCTTATAACAGAGGGACTAAAAATGGATACGGTAATAACACTGGGACTGAGTCGTCACTACGGTTATAACTCAGGGACCAAACTCGCTATTTTCCCTTTTTATTATACTAAAAGCATATTTTAATATATTAAAGTTTAAATTTTTTTAAGGTACAATATTTAATTGAGTACTGAATTTATATTTATACATTTTAGTACATATATAATATACATTTATTAATGATGTGGCCACTGCACATCAATATATATATTTGCCCTTTGCCCTTTAATTTGGGAATATGAACATGGTAGGTGCATGGGTGTTGATAATTTTACATTTAAATTGTATTATTTATTAGTTTCATTAATTGTGAGATTATAAATATAAATTGCACAATTTTGATTGTGGTTGTGATCTGTATATTTGAGCAGATTTTGAGTATAAATTGATAAATAAAATTTAAATTTTTAAAAAGAAATAAATATATCACGTCGAGTTTTTAACAAAACCATATTATTATTATTATTTTATTATTATTATTATTATTATTATTATTATTATTATTATTATTATTATTATTCATTTGGTTAACTTAAATATTGTGGTATTTCAAAAGAAAAAAGGACAATTTTTTTAAAAACATAATATAGTATGTGTGAAGTTGAACATGGAAAATGGAATGACTAGCTAATGTATTAAATGGTTATTGTTGTTTTTTTAAAACTTATTTTAATATTTTTTTTTTTTAAAAAGGAAAAATTGCTAGCCACCCTTCCTCATGCGTCTCCGGCGGACCCCCTTTCCCTCCTTCGTCTCCGCTAGACGAAAAGAGATTCTTCATCTCCAGGCCGGAGACGAAGGATGGGGGGGGGGGGGGTGGGTGCATTTTTTTTTTTTTTTTAAGTTTTTTATTAAAATAATTTTTTTAAATAAAAATTAATTTAGTAACCGTCACGTCATCTAATTATCTGATCAACGGTTAATTACTTTAGGTTCAATTGCTTGAATTTGTGTAGTTCAAGGATCTAATTGTAAATTTTTTGAATTATTATTATTATTATTATTATTATTATTATTATTATTATTATTATTATTATTATTATGAAATAATAATATATTATAATTTCTTACAGTTATGTATGCGAGAGAATTCCACCTTGGAGCTAATCTGCCAATGTTTGAATTTTCAGTCAAGGCACCAATGCGTATCTATTTGGAATGACTAAAACATTGATGCCCGATTTAGGATATATAGATATGACGGTCAAATGTATACTTTTGAATCTCGAGAGCCTCAAATGATTGCAAATTTAAGGACAGTAGAATTTTACGGTGTTCCACATTTAGATCGTCGTATTAATCTTGATCATGGCCTCATCGCAACACTCATTGAGAGGTGGCGGCCAGGAGATGCATGCCCTTTCATTTTGCTTTTAATTTGGTGAAGTCAACATAACACTTCAAGACGTTGAAGTGTTACTTGGTTTGAAAGTTGACGGGCCTACGATTACCGACAAAGACAAGCGTTCACGTACGTAATGAATGGATTGTAGAATGTGACAGATTGTTGGATTTTTGGCCTCATCCTGAAGCTGTTGACGACGAGCAAGATACTCGGTAACGCGTTACCACCGGTGGCCTAATGTGCACGAGTGGCACACAGCTGAGAAAGTGGAACAGGCCAGGCTACTCGGATCCTTATTCTTCACTTGTTAGCATGTCATTGCCGCATGCCATTATAGAGGGATTATGATGCGAACCTGATTGTCCCAATCTTCTCTTCACACTCTAATTTAAAAAATACTTTAAAATGAGTTTATTAGGCCTAGATGAAATCGAATTTAGAGGTTTAACTTGGGTCGGGAAAACGGCTAATTTTTTGGATTTTGACAAGTCCTCGCCACACCGGGTTATAGGGTGATCGTAGGAGTATGAATGACGCCACAATTGAAGTTCCACACTTGATAAGTCATGTTTCTCATGAGTCATGACCAACTCACGGCCAAACTCATCCTGAGTTCTAGAAAACACTCAGTTTTCTAACACAAAAATTTTCAATTATGTATTTTATTCATATAAGACAGTGATATTCATAGTTGTAAAATCCTAATTTCTTTAGACACTTCCCAAGATAACTAGAAATTCTAACAAACTAATCATGATAAACATAAATAACAAATAATATAGAAACCTTTTTTTTTTTTTAATGTTACTAGCTCTATTACATTGTAGTATCTGTTCAACTCACACCCTTCTAAATAGAAGTCCAACCCGGATACATTGGACCACATAGTCCTGGGTAAATAATATAGAAACTTAAGATAACTAAAAACTCCTAAATCAAATTTAATTCGGAGTACTAACTAACAATAACCCGTCTATTTAAATTCCAAATTAACTAACTAAATAATTAATATAATAATTTCCTAAAAACGGAATTAATTTAAAATTATAATGGCACCGTAATTTTATTAACTCTATATGCTTATATTTCTAATATTCACTATGATGGGTGTTAGGAATATAGCGGATAATGCGGAAGCGAATAATCGAAAATTTGAGAATTATAGAAGTTAAATAATAGGGAGAATAATATAAATGACAAAATAATTACTAAGAATGGTGAGAATATAAACATATATATATTAAAGTCTCATAAAGACAATACAAAGAATATATATATATATATATATTAATGCATATGTATGCTACGTGAAATAGCTAAAAGGAAAGATGAATGAATGTATTTGATGCATTGAATTACAAGGCTTAGCTAGCTACTTATACAATCCAAAAAGAGGAATTAAGTGGGCATGCATGCGGATGCGACGCAATCGTAGGGAATGTGCAAGAAGAGACAACAGCAACATGCAACGTGGATGGTTGTCTAGGATGACTTCAAGAATTTGAGCCACATATTAATTATTTCTTAACAATCAAATCCATTGCGGAAATTAACAACTGGAACAGTCGACTAAACTCAAGCACTACTTGAACTTAGCAATAGGAAGAACATCAGAATAGCAGGATGGATCACCATCAACTTCCTGTGTGACTGAAAGAGCATAAGCAACCATGTTGGTTTCATCATCACTAGCATACCTAGCAGGTTTTTAAATTGTCCTAGGACGATCCATAGCAATGGAATACTCTCGTTGTGGCTCGACGAGAGGTGTTGTGCTAGTAGATGCATCATCTTTAGTATTACCATCAGCAGTAGTAACACTATCAATTAGGCCTGAACTCAAACTCCACCTTCTCACCAGTACTCTGCGTCTCATCTGTACTGGGAACTTTTCCAGAAGAAAGTAGTGCATTTTCGTCAAAAGTGATATCTCGACTTCAGAATGATTTTCTGAGAATCAGGAGACCATAGACGATATCCTTTTGACTCAGCGGCATAGCCAAGGAAAATGCATTTGACAGCTCTCGGGTTTAATTACCCGTACTGGAATGAGCATATGCAGGACATCCAAAAAACTCTTAAGATAGAGTAATCAACAGGATTACTTGACCAAACTTCCTCTGGAATTTTGAAATCAAGGGATGAATGTGGGAGATCTATTTACCAAATAGCATGCAGTTAGAAACAGCCTCGGCCCAAAAATCACGCCGTTTCCATAACCCAGCATTAGAGAGCATACAACGAGCTCTTTCCAATAGAGTTCTGTTCAAACGTTCGGCAACACCATTCTGCTGGGGTTTTACCAGGCAAGGTCTTGTGCCTGGCGATTCCATTTGCCGCACAGAAGTCATTGAAATCTGACTCATAGAACTCCAAGCCATTGTCTGTCCTGAGCTTCTTGACTTTTTTACCTGTCTGAGTCTCAATAAGTATTTTCCACTTCTTGAAAATAGAAAATGCCTGATTTTTTTGTTTCAGGAAATAGACCCAGACTTTACGAGAAAAGTCATCAATAATAGACATAAAATATCTACAGCCTCCCATAGACTGAAATTTAGTTGGTCCCATAAATCGGAATGTATATATTCCAATACATCTTTGGTACGGTGTGTAGCAGTAGAGAAACTAACTCTCTTTTGTTTCCCAAAAACACAATGCTCACAAAATTGTAATTTACCCGTACCTGAACCACCAAGGAGACCTTTCTTGCTCAGGAGATGCATGCCTTTCTCACTCATATGCCCCAGACGCATATGCCATAATTGAGTGAGATCCGCATCAGACATCGATGAGGATACCGCTACTGAACCCGTCACAGTACTGCCATGCAAGACATACAAGCTTCCAGAACGAGAAGCTTTCATGAGAATAAGAGAGCCTTTTATGACCTTCAGAACTCCACCTTCAGCTATGTACTTGCACCCCAGACTTTCCAAGGTACCCAAGGATATCAGATTGCGTTTCAAATCAGGAATATACCGAACATTGGTAAGAGTCCTGATAACGTTATCATGAGTTTTAATCTGAACACTTCCAATTCCACTAACCTTGCATTGGGTATCATTACCCAGCAAGACAACTCCACCATCAACCGGTTCCAGGAGAAATGAACCAATCTTTGTGGGGACACATGTGGAATGTACAACCAGAGTCCACAGAAATGAACCAATCTCGGTTTCACTCCGTTTCTCACCGGAGCTAACAGATAACAAAACATCGCCTTCTGAATCACTTTCAACAACACTAGCTTCAGCGGACTTCTTTTCTCTCTCTTGCTTGTTTTTTCAACTTGAAGCATTCAGTCACATCATGACCATGCTTCTTGCAGTACTTACAGGATTTGTTGGACTTGGATCTAGATTTTTTATTGCTACTCTCTGTTTCAAGTGAATGACCCCCTTACAGTCAAGCCTTCACCTTTGTCCTCAGACTTAATGTCAAAGTCAAACTTTTCTTTGGACAATAGGTTTGACTTAACATTCTCGAAAGTAAGGGTATCACTACTATTACCATACAGCATAATTTCTTTGAAATGCTTGTATGATTTAGGGAGAGAAACAAGCAATAAAACAGCACGATCCTCATCGTCAATTATGACATCAATATTTTCCAAGTCCAATAAAATAGAATTGAATTCATCTAAGTGAGACTTAATAGAAGTACCTTCCGTCATACGGATTGTGTACAGACGCTCCTTCAGGCGTAGCGTATTCGCCAGAGTTTTGGCCATGTAAAGCGCATCCAGCTTGGACCATAAATCTGACGCAGTCGTCTCACTTTAATACCTCACGTAGAACCTCTTTAGACAGGCACAAAAGAATGGTTGAACGTGCTTTGTCATCCAGATCTTCCCAACCTACATCTGTCATTGTAGCAGGTTTCTTCTTCTTCCCAGCTAGCGCTTTCTTCAAACCGTTCTGGGTTAGAACGGCTTCCATCTGAACCTTCCAGA